CCAGGAGGCTCTGTATATTGCGCCTGCCACGCAAAAGGCAGCCGCGGGTCAGCTGCTTGAGGAGGCTCTGTATACTGTGCCTGCCACGCAAAAGGCAGCCAGGAAGCTCTCTGTACTGCGCCTGCCTGCCTGAGGAAGTAAGTAAGTGAGTGCGTGTATGCGTGCGTGCGTGCGTATGTAAGTGAGTGAAGGAGGAGGCGGCGGAGGAGGAGGCGGTGCCCCGGCGGGATCCAAGCGAAAAACAAGAACGTGGGGAATAATATTTTATTTTATTATAAATATTTATTTTTATAATATATTTTAAATTATTATAAAATATTTTTATTTAAATATTTTAAATATTTTTTTAATTAAATATATATATATATAAATATAAAAAATAATAAAGCATTATACTATATTTAAAACAACTAAATATATAACATATATATAAATAAGTTAGAAAACTAAGCGAAGGATGGCCCGAAAACGTAAAAAAGCAAGGTCTTTTCTTGTTAAAATAAAATACCACATTAAACAAAATATATTAAACATATACTATAAACAATCGAAAAAATGAATATCCAAACAATACAACACAAATACAAAATAATAGTTTGCATCGCAAACAATTTTACATCAAGACCTGGAGCAGAGTGCCTCATATTAGAGCCCAAAGCCAATACCAGCTTTGGTTGAAGCGGGGGGTGGAATTCTTGGCACGAGGTAATTCTCACAGTTGGTCAGCGAAAGCTCTGACAAGGCTCAACCAATATCAAAAGGGTTGAAATTCTTACTATTCCTCCGAGCAGATACGCAGTCAGGCACCCGCTGATATGCGGAATCCTGTACCAACCTGGAAACAGAACCTGCTCACAAGAAGCTGTAGCCAGGATAGCCCTGGGATGTGTTCAACCGCCGGTGCAGCAAACGGATCTCGCTGCCTCGGTGCAAACACATCGCGCTTTTGGAGCCAAAACCTGCAGACGGAACAAAGTGATTGACATAGTACTCATGACATGGAACCAGTATGAATCAGTTGTAGCCGTGAATTCCATTTCCACCATATAGGTTTCGCAAGTACCTGAGACCGTTTCTCTTGACACATCAACTCCTTGCGAAATCTCTTTTGCTCCTTTTTTCTGTTTTTCCCCACAGCTGCATGTGCTTTCTCAAATCTGGTCACAATGTATCAGGACGATTTTCGCAGACCTCGCATGGCATGCACAAAACATGAAATAGTGCAAGCAGTGAATCTTCGTGCCAAAACAAGAACCAATTCTGAAAGCGATGTGCCTGTTCACAGTAGAGACCAGGTGGGTGTGATGCATATCCTGAACAAATATCTTGGATCTGGTAACGGAGTTGTAACCAACAGAGCTTCACAAAGCAATGACCAACATCTGTGTTTCCGGCTTGACCAAGGTGTCACAAGGTTCTCAGGACCATGTGTTGCCTGAGGCTTTTGAGAGACGGATCTTCAGACGTGTCAGTCATCTGTCCGGTCGGGCTCGCCTCCATTGATGCGATAAGCGGCTCGGTGATCAGAGCTCTTCCCTGCTGCTCAGCCTGAAACTCCGAATGAAACTACAGAAACTACATGTCTGCTATTTTCCCGGCATCCAGCATGGGATGTAAGGGGCGTGGATATTGTAGCGTGATTTGGGACGACCGATAAAGCGTCTGTTGACAAGCCTTCTGCAGTGGGCCGGAGTTGGCATTTTGCGTAGCCCTCGGTGTAGTTCGGGGTCACAAAGGAAAGCTACTTCCTTCCACTCGGCAGCAACGCATTCCCTTTTGAGGCTATCGCAAATTGCAGAACCGTTTCGCACCTCCGCTGAAAGCAGCCACAAATGAACCACAAACGAGATTAACATCAACAAATTCCAACCAAGATTCATTCAGATCAGTATCAGTCAAGTGAGAACTTTGAAATGATAAGGAAATCAAGGAAATTGTATTCATCACTATGCACTCTTCGCCGCGGACCCTCTGCCGCGACTTTGGCAGCTTCCGCTTCTTTGGCGGCCTGAGCACTTTGAGCGATGAAATTCGACTGGATACTGCCAAGCCTGCCAAGCCTTGCCAACACACCACACATTACACAAAATCCACGAAAGTGACTAAAATCATCTCATGAAATCTCAAATCCAAGAATGCAACATCAGCTGCTACGGCTTGCAGTGCTGCATATCTCCTGCACTTTGGTCAAGCACACAGTTGGATCAGCTTTGGGTTGGATCAGTTGGATCAAAAAATGTGTCAGAATAGCCACTGCACAGCTCTGCAAATGCGTCCTGCCAACTAGCCCAGCCTGCCAGGCAAAGCTGCCAATACATGGCATGCAACATCTGATGCTGGACTGCAAGCAGGAGGGCAAAGTTTTTTGGGAAGGCACCGCCACAGTGAGAAATCGTGAGACGTGGCTAGCAGCGCTTGATGCTGTGAAACATGGATTCCAGATCTATGCGCCAATCCACCAACACCAGTTGAAGGGAACCGAAGATGGATCAAACTGCTGCACAAATTGAGCCTAAAGACATCTAAAGACTAAGATCAGTGCTGCTATAAGCACTTTGCCTGATCGACTGCTGACCTTTCCTGCGTAGGGGAGCCGTGGAAATTCAGCACGAGCATAGTGGGAACCGTCCGGGAACCGTCTGGGAACCGTGGTACGGCTGCGTGCTTTGGACTCTGTTTCCACACCGTGTGCCGACCTGGCGGTCAGTGTCTTGGCCACGGGGGAATTGTTCCGCTCCAAAGTTCCTTTCGTTCCGCTCAGCCGTTGCAGAGGCGGCAACTGGCAGAATCGTTTCTGGCATCGACCCAAAAGTGCGATGTGCCAACGAAGCTCCTGGAAGCTCCTGGAAGCTGCATGTTCTCTGCATCTCCAATGAGTCCAAGGCATTTGCAGCATGGACCAGGTCAAATTCGGAATGCTTCAGGTTTGTTCAGCATCGATTCATCGACTATAGGTCAGCTGGGTCATCGTTGCTTCCAGCCCTTTCTTCACACCCAGCTTTTCCGGCACCGAAGGCGTTGAACCCTAAGGACAGTCCTGAGAGCACCGGAGGTGCATGTTTCAACACTGCCCATGTCAGGCATTTCTTGAACGTTAAAACGGTAAGGATCCCAAGTGATGAATTCAAAGAGCCAAAGAAAGCTGAACTTTGAGGAAACCGTTTGGGAAACCTATGGAAACCTATGGAAGCACTAAGTATCAAACTGAAGGCTTTCTCGCTTTCATCTGTCTTGGGAATTTCTTTGCCATGAGACCTGAACCGTGGCTTTGACACTTAAACAACCGTTAATCCATGTGCTGCAGTGGCAATGAAGTACACACGGGCCATGCCCCGCCTCGCAGAATTGAACATGTCCACATCAGGCCTGGCCATTGGAAATTCCCCTAAGATAAATGTTCGTCTGAAAATATGGTACCCTCCAAGTTTGATGATTGATAATCAGAATTTATCATCCCATCAAATTCGCCATAAATATTGTGGTGCATTGAAGGTATCTCCCGACTTTCAAAGCAGACATTTTATACGGCAGGACATGGCAGCGATCTGCCTGACCATCTCAAAGGCTTGGACCCCAGCCTGCGCATCTGCTGAATGGTCCAATCATGGGATGTTTTTCTCGTTTTAAATTGTGGACCTATGGGTCGGAGAAATCCCCCAATTCCCCCCATTCAGCACCGGTAAGTTTTTTGGTATCACAAAAAAACATAAAAATATCCTGTTGGGTCTTGTTTCCTGTAAAAAACAAGATGAAGCCCACGAACCCGAATGCTCACACGTATGTTGAAGATAACGATGTTAAAGTATCGATAATGACATGAGATGCAAATGTCAATGCTCAAACCTATTGCTCCGGAACTGTTTTCTCTCCGCGACAGCAGCACTGGCGTCACAACGCAGTGGCGCGCGGCAAGCAGCGCCTTCCAAGACATGGAAACCATGCGAGACGAACGTATCACACATGAAATGTCTTGTGTTGGGAGTCACATGCGTCGATGCAACAAGATAAAATGTATGGATCAACGAACCAGAAAGTATCGGAAGCGTGTTGAAACATCCTGTAGTGGCACCAAGCATGCTCGATGCCTCCACGGCACTGGTGTTGCAAAGCTGCATCGCGACGCAGTCATCACCTGCCAGAACACACGAGCCAGACGAGGCACAGTTGTAGCTGACGAATCATTTTATGAGTTATGGAAACAGAAGCTTGATGAAGACAATTCAATAACGATTGTGTGGGACAACGAAACAACCCAAACAAAAAGGAAAATAAGAACGGCTCTTGCTGATCTGTCCAACAAAATCATATCATCATCAGATTGCAAAAGGAACAGGGACTTCTTTCTACCATCGCCGACGGCTGTAACACGTCCTGGGAGCTGCTCAGCAACAGCGAGGACAGTGCCACCAGCTGTCGCTCTATAGACAACCCATACACATCACTGAAGACATTTATTGCATGTTCAAAAAACAAATTCAATCTACTAGTCTTGTGTTTGACCAACTGGGTATGATGAATGTATGTGCACGGGCATGATGCAAAATCATATCGGGCAGGTGCACAAAGCTTTGCTGCTCAGATGCGTTGGGATCGGATGCAGTTGAATGTCTTGCGGTTGGCCGCACTCACATGATTGCGGACATGACATCTTTTCAACATCCGTTGCAACAGCCCAGTAAGTCTGGATATTGCAACGGATGTTGAGAAGATTTATCATTTGTACAAAACACAAATTCCACCGGGTGCACGGAGCTGTACCGATCAACCTGCGACGCAACGCCATTCCAGGAAACCCAGAGTCTGTGGCTGGACGGAGCCACAGGCGCTGAGAACCTCTTCCATTAGCAACTCAGATGGAGCGGACGATGATGATCTTGCAGCGTCCTCATGACAAGGCGACCGTGCAAACTGCGTGCCCATAAGGTCACACCCGAGCGACGCGGCCGAAACCGATGAACGATCAAGGGCCAGACGGGCAGAGAAACATTTTAAAAAAAAGATGAAGCTGTCATCGCCTGTGGCGTGAGTTTTGCGATGCATTTGTGTGCATGTCGAGAAATAGCGTTGCGTCGTAGTCTTGACCTGCGCGGTCTTTTTTTCCAGGCCGAAAACACATCCTGGGAGCTGCTCAGCAAGACAGCGAGGACAGCGCCACCAGCTGTCGCTCTATAGACAACCATACAGATTTCGGTCATGTCCAACTTCTCACCAAGACAACGGAGTCACCAACGCCAGCTGTCCCTCTGTTGCCTGAAGTCAAACACATTCGTCGAAATTTCTGTTGCCAGCGACAATTTGGACAATTTCAGGCGGCAACAGCTTCTTAGTGATCTTAACTTGGTCTGAGAGTAAAGATCACCAAGAAGTTATTGCCGCCGGAGATTGTCCAAATTGTCGCTGGCAACAGAAATGGCAGTGTCTGGTTCCATCGGGGTCCTATTTTTGTTCCGACAGAAATGGAAGCTCGATTGAATCAAACCTTGACGCAAAGCAAGCACAGGAAACCCGGGGTCTCTGGCTGGACCGCCCAGCCACAGACGCTGGGAACTGACTCGCAAGGCACTCAGATGGCACGGATGAAGAACTGATCCTCAAGATCCGCTGTGAGATTGCTTGTGTGTCACACGCACTTCCGCTCTCACCTGAGCGACCCGGCCGAACCCGCTGGCGGACCCAGGGCTCCGCCGGGCAGACCGTCGAGGCTGTTGCACAAAAAAAACAACGGTTGCATGTTGAGTGGTTCAGCATGCTGTCTCTCGAGAAATAGCGTTGCGTCGTAGTCTTGACCTGCGCGGTCTTTTTTCCAGGCTGCCCGCTCGGGCAGCCTGGCCCACCCTCCCTACCTCCCCACATGGGGCCTGCCAGCAACTCTGCTGCAAAAGTTGCAACAGAAGCACCACCAGGCCACAGCAGAGGAGTTCCAGCATGGGAAAATGCGAATCACGGAATGCATGTTCCTCGGGGACAACGCCACCTGAGGTTTGGCACCACAAACATCACTCAGCATTGCTTCGAGCAACAGAAGCGATGCAGCACAAGAAATATACACATCACTGAAGACATTTATTGCATGTTCCAAAAACAAATTCAATCTACTAGTCTTGTGTTCGACCAACTAGGTATGATGAATGTATGTGTACGGGCACGATGCTATACATCCTCATCGCCACATGAAGAAAAAAAAGAACGAAACAGCCAATCAACAAATGGCACTCAATTGCCGCTGGGGCGACCGCAAGGCGCCCCACTGGATAATCGCCTTGAGATTTTCATCTTGATAGCCAATCAAGCAGCCACGCCCGCAAGGGCTACATCCAATTGCAACCGATGACTTTCATCCGCTGACCACTGCACCACGAAGGGAACTGCCAAATCAGACAAGACTGCCATGTCATCGAAGTCGGGGACACGGCCACCTGACCCGTCTCCAGCCCGTGCAGCATCGCTTGACATATCGCCACCGTTCATCGGTGACACGTTCATAGAGCGACAGCCATACAGCATCCAGCTTGGATGTGTTTTTGAGCATATAAGCAACAACAAACTAATCACTTTCATAATTGTTTTCCTTTTCATGCATATGGTATGATAAGCAAATGTGACATAAGAGCCGGCCGGGGACAACTGCCACCAGACCTCCTGAGGCGTGGCACAACCGACAGTATTGTCAACAAACAGCCGGATGCGCTGGCGAACGACGACACAACTTCCCGTGCCTCTGCAGTATCACCACCACGTGCTGTCCCAAAGGCAGCACTGTGCAGCAAGCATCACCTTTCGAAACATGTGCCGACGTCAATGAACCTAACGTTGATGTTGCATTCAAAATGCCGATGTCAATGAATCAGGTTAGATGTCGCATTTAAAAACTCATCCAATCTGTTCTAACAACACATCGTGCACGTCCAACAATACAAAGCGGCGCCCACCTTGCAATGAAAATGGACACGGATGTTGCCAAGCTTGTCTGCTATCCGTGACTGAGTTGATCCTACCCTGCCTCCAGACGAGGCAGCAGTCGCTAAATGCCACTTTATCAATCCAAGCACCCAAACGATGCATGTACAAAGCTTTCCAACATTTTCCACAAATCCCATCGGGTGCACGGAGCTTTACTGCTCAGATGCATTGGGATCGGATGCAGTCGAATGCCTTTGGTCGGCTGCACTCAAATGGATGCGGACATGTCCGGGCTGTTGCAACGGATGTTAGCATAATAAGATGATACTCACCTGGCCGCATGCATTGCACACTCTACGTTTGGTCTTATCCCGCCTCCACACGAGGCAGCAGTCGCCAAGTGTGACTTTCTCAATCAAAACACACAATCGATGCATTTCGATACTTTCCAACACTCAGGCAAAATCATATCGGGCGGATGCACAAAATCCTATCGGGCGCACGGAGCTTTACTGCTCAGATGCATTGGGATCGGATGCAGTCGAATGCCTTTGGTCGGCTGCACTCCAATGGACGCGGACATGTCCGGGCTGTTGCAACGGATGTTAGCAAAATTAGATGATACTCACCTGGCCGCATGCATTGCACACTCTACGTTTGGTCTTACCCCGCCTCCACACGAGGCAGGAGTCGCTAAGTGTGACTTTCTCAATCAAAACACACAATCGATGCATTTCGATACTTTCCAACACTCAGGCGAAATCATATCGGGCGGATGCACAAAATCCTATCGGGTGCACGGAGCTTTGCTGCTCGGATGCATTGGCGTCGGATGCAGTCCAATGCCTTTGGTCGGCTGCACTCAAATGAATGCAAACATGACTGAGCTATTGCAACGGAGGTTACCAAAATTAGATGATACTCACCTGGCGGTATGCATTGCAGTCTCGACGAGTCATTCGAAGCAACACCGGCGAATAGAAACCACGGCCAAACACCTGCCTCCAAACGTGCCAAAGGATATTGATGGAGATGGAAGAAAAGAAAAACATGAACACCACCAAAGACATGTTCAAGATGGCGCTTGCAGTCGAGTATATGAAGGCGGTTGTCTCAGATGCGACTTGGATCCCTCAAGTTTGTGCGGCGCATAATGTTGTGGATGGATGGCACATCCAGTCGAAAACAGTGGTTTGCCAGAGAGGAGTCATAGCGTTGCACGCAGTCGAAGCAGGACAAAAATCTGCTCAGAGAATTTCAGCGGCCATACTGCATGGGCTATTTGCTGAGAAGAAACAATCTAGCATCTTGACCGGGAACACACCGGTCCCAAATCCAGACCCCGGCAGGAGAATGCGGATGAAGAGCAGGAACAACAGGACTCAGAGGAGTTTGGGCCCATCCAGAACTTCGGCACAGCCAGTTTGTCAAAGCTTTATACGGATTAAATAACTCCAATGTTCCACTGCTTTTATACGTCCTTTCGAACGTAGTATAACCATTCCATTTTCGTTGCGCCATGCACCAAAGGAATGTGATGCATTTGTCTTGCCCTAGCTATTGTCGAACTTTCTCACGCGGGGACATCACCACCTGCCAGCTTACAGCAGCGTCACGTTTATCTGCATGCTGCCACTGCTTCCAAAAGAGTCGGCGGCAAGGCATCCGGTGGGAAGTAGC